AAAGCCACACAGAATATCCCCCTCTCCCTCTCTTAAATGCTAGCCCAAAGCCATAGCTATATCACAGAACGGTTAAGGTTGGAAGGGACCTCTAGAGATCATCTAGTCCAACCCCCMTGCTCAAGCAGGGACATCTTGAGCATGTGGCATAGGGTGGCATCCAGGACAACAGCCATATATGCTTTTGTCTCACTCCTTGAGAAATCAGGAATCACAAAATGGTAAAACAATACATAGCTTTCTTCCCTGTTCTTCATCCATATAGCTTCATGTACAATAAACAACTGGCTCGTGCACTGTATGGCTCTGCTAGACCAAGGACTACCAGGCAACACAACTTATCTCAGAGGTAAATCCTCCAAGACAAAGGGGAAACATGTGGCTTGTTTCTGTTACAGGAATAGAGAACAAACTTTAAGAGAACTCCCTTGTCAGCAACAAATTCATTCAGATTGGTTATTTGAATGAATAGGCTTTTTTCTTTTTCTTTTTTTTGAGCAATTAAGAATGGCTAACAGGCAGCAAGGCCACGTTCAGCTCTGCTGCATGAGCGTGCACAACAGCATCCTGCAAGAGGGATTCTTCCTGAGGGATTCGTTCCTGCAGAACGAACCCCGAGCAGCTCTTGACTCACCACTTAGGACAATGATGTCAAAATCCCCGTTGCTTATGGGCTGGTTCTGGTAGGAGATGCAGGCATGGAAACAGCCCCTGCGGTGCAAGGTGAGCCGCAGGAGCACTTGGCACGTTTGCCGATTGGACACCACCGACTTCTCAAACAAAACATCCGAGCTCTCCTCATCTTCCTGAGGCCCCAGCTAAACAGAAAAGATGTTCACAGAGGGGGCGGTCTTCTCCAGCTCCCGGGAAGGCGAGCAGCAATGGATAAGGTCCCACTCACCTCGTGGATGGAGAGGCTGTAATTGTGCTCATCTATGAGGGATACCGAATTGCTGGTGGGATTGTCATACTCGTCTCTCGGAACGATCTGCAGGGTGTGCTGCTGCCCACAGGTCAGCACCAGTGTGGAGAAGTGGCAGACAATTTTGGTTTTGGAGGGAACAACCGTCCCTGAAGCAGACAAAAAAAAGAAACAGAGTCAAACACAGTCCCAAGCTCAGCTACAAAAAAAGACAGGAAAAGCAAATAGATGCACAATACCCTATAAAATGGGTAAAATCTCAACACATCCTCTGCCTTTRCATTCTAAAAAACAAAGCACCTAAGCAGTGAAACCCACGCTGTGGTGTGCAAGGTTTGCCTTGCGTCAGACACTTCACACCAACAAAGTGAGTGCAGTTACTATCTCTAAAGAATTCTCTTTCCTCCATYCTGTGATTAGTTTGAGATCTTGCTCCCACTGCTGGTACAGACAGTACAAGTCTGCTGAAATCCAAGGGAGCTGCAAATGCAGCGCACACACAAAATCTACCCCAAAGGTTTTCTGAGCAGAATCTAACCTTCCTCTTTCCAAAGGGGTATCTTGGCAAGCTTTGCATCCACTCACAGAACAATTTATTAGAGGTATTTTTAATAAACACGTACATGAAATATAAAGATGACGATGATGTTCAAAACAACAGACAGAAGAATAGAATAGAGAAAGATGGATAAAGATTTAATATGGATATAAAGGAAACCTTTTCAAGACATATGTAAAGCATTTACACTCAGGTATCTACTACTTCAGAGGCTCAAAGGAACACAGTAAGGTATTCAAAGAGAATAACAGGCAACTCAAAAAGAACATTTTTAATTAAACATGTAAATAACTCAATACTTTTACAAAAAGACATTCTCTGGCTCCTAGATGGATTGTGAAGAACTTAATACAAAAAGAAAAGTACAATAAATGGCTAGGCAGTTTAAGAAACACAAATGACTTAGCCTCTAGGGCAGTTTCTACTTTGCCAAGTGTTGAGAATCACAGGCATGTTTTAACCATGAGTTTCTTGCTAGGAACTACATGTGGAAAGAGGAAAATGGTGAGGGGTAATCCCTTCCCTGCCACCTACCTATTTTAACTGGGGGAAAAAAAAAAAAAAAAAACTGTCTAACTGCCTGCAATTCCTCCAAATCTGCATTGAATCATCACATGGCCATCTAGACCTTACCTGGCTGAAACACCTTGTAGTAGGGACTGTAGGCCACATTCAAGCCACCGAGTTTTACAGTGATCTCATATCTCCCAGCCCTGCGCACAGTGAAGGCCACTTTCACCACATTGGAATTAGGCTCCTGAAGAACTTCCTGGGTTACAGGAATATCAATTGCTAGCTCCACGTGGCAGATGTGGACACGGAGCCCCACAGGCCGRTGAGCAGGGAAGGGCTGCCCATTCTTATAGAACAACTGCATGGGAAATGGAGAAGTCCAAATCAGCACAAATATGCAGTGCACAAAGAGAGGGAAACCAAGATGTCTTGCAACAAAGAAGGGAAAAGGGCTAGAACCCCAGTTCAGCACAGGAGAAAAAGAAAAATAGCAGAAGAAAAAGTCAGCTCTGTCCCATGGGCTGTGTTCTCTCAAGTGAAGAGGGCACGAGTGGGCACTGAACAACCTTGTCCTCTTTTGTGCTGAGGTTCAAATAAGTGACCCAAAAAGAACATGCCTCCAGGCATTTCTTCTCTGCACTGTAAGTGCTTATCAAAACAGAAACCAATAGAACCCACCACCAAAATGAGAAAAAACAAAGCCATATTCTTTTAGAGAAACAAGTAGKTTTTGTCCCTTTGTACCCAGCAAAAACTATGTAGAAACTCTCACCAATCTATTATAGAAAATAGTGTGTGAGAGACTGTGCAAGTCTGAGCTGATAAGAAGCAGCAGCGTGAAAACAACATGTTAGACACAGTCACAGTCAGTTCAGCTACAAAACTGATCTGACAAATAATTCAGAGAGCAATTAACTCAACCACTACCGCCTTGCAATGCAGAAAAAGGCCTTAAACACAAAGCACTTCAGCTGTGAGCCTGCGGACCAAATCCTGCTTACCCTCATCAAATGGCCCCCACACAAGCTGCAAAACCGGCTACTGCTTCCTGCTCCTCCATAAAGGAGGACACGGCCTGAAGCAGCAGGTACTTCGACTGACAGAGCAGCTAGTGCGTGTAACAGCTGATGATGATGAATAGAGGACTGAGCAAATACGAGGCAAGCATGGGGTGGATGGGCAGATTTTGGGAGTCCCAAGAGTGTAAGTAGGTGAATAAAGAAGTTTAGATAGCAGGAACAGAACAYGTCCCTTTCCCCTTAGTTCTTTTTCACTGCCTGCAATTTGGTCAGAACTCCTCCTCACTTGCACTGAGCTCAAGGATTTTCCCCACTTTTCTGAGGGATGGATATAAATCTTAAACTTTCCTTCTTACTTAGGTGCCCTTCTAGGTCAGGTAGGTGAAAGGCAAAACACAAGAGCCCAGCAAAATCTGTTCAGACTTTCTCCACATAGCTCCAAACCCTCAGCATTCAGACTCCTCATCTCATTTGTACGCTTGTCCCATTTCCTTAGGCTTGGCCTTTTGAGAGTCGAGGAAACAAAGGTCCTTGACTGGCCTCTCCTTATCAATGAGCAGAAAAACGCTCAGTTATGAGGGCACTCTTTTCTGGAGGGATGGGGCACGGAAGGGCCGTGAGGCCCCCTCAGTTCTTGTGCTGGTAAAGCCCCCATTCCCAGGCTTCCAACTCGAGCTCTGCAAAGTAGACKGTGATAATTCTGCTCAAGGCAAGGCCTGGCCAACTCACTCCCAGCAGCCAACACAACCCTGGCCCCCTCTTCAAAAGCTTCTACAACGACAGACAGAAAAATTTAAAGGAATGTGAATCTCAGGTGCACTCAGAGATTAGGGGAAGCAGAAGACACTAASAGACAGCTTTCCTAGTTATATCCAGCTTGGCCCCAGGGTAAACTACCTGAAGAGCCTATCCCTAAGGCAGACCTCTGTTCTACCCCCGAAGCTGTGTGGAAACAGAAACATTCCCTTACATGCACTCGGAAGGCCATGCTATGGCCCACCTCATAGGGGTCCTTCCAATCCCAGGAGATCTTGCAGGACCGGGGATCCAGGTAGTTGCCTCGCACGTAGTCATAAATAGTTCGCTCCCCTCGGCGTTCCCGGTCCTCATGCTGAAGGAAGCTGACTATACGTGCGGCGAGCTCCAAGAAGAACTTAATGGTGAAGAAGAAGGCTACCACAGACACTGTGATCCCACCTGCAGCAAGAAGAGAACACAGGGTGGTTACGGCAGCATGGTTGAGTCAGACGCCAAGCRTCTCTCTGTGTCAGCCCAAGGTAACTTTCTTTTAATGATAATCTACTTAACCACAATTCAGAGGTTTAATGCAGAAACCGCTGAGCAAACTTTTATATATAAAAGTTATACTTTTATATATAGTAGTATACATATATACTACTATATATATATGTGTTGTTATACTAAAAGTTAGGTTAGAGGATCATAAAAGTCCCTTAAAACATTAGAAATAACTACAAGTTGAGGAAAAACAGATAAAGGTGGTACAGAATCTCAGGTATGGCCAGTATACATCGCAAMATAAGAGTACAATTCCCACCAAATCACAAATTAGAACTACACAGATTTTTTTTCAAGAAAAACAGATAATCACACAACCTCTGCACATTGCATTAAGACTGGTTTAAGAAGCATCATGAAGGCAAAAAACCTGCACTAACTCTCAAAAGAAAAAGGAAGGGAATGGTTTAGGAGTGAGGTYGATGGAAGGAGTTGTCTGGGAATGAAAAGAATGGTGGACAGGCAGGTCTGCCAGGTGGGGGCACAGTGCGGGAAGACAATTAACTTCATGTTTGTTAGGTAGACTCTAAACTAACAGAAAAGCAAAAGCTTTCAAGAAACCCCTCTAAAGCCTATGGAGAGGCTCACAAACACAGTGGCAGCCCTTCCTTCACTTACCAATAACGTAAAACATCAGGTCCCTTCGGTGAGACACACAGCCGAGGATCACAGCTGCATCTAGAACACAAAATAGGCCAAGTCCAGTCCAATGACTCTTCCTTAGACACATTGGCCTAAACTTATTCCATGATCCCTCAAACAAATGCCCTGGCCCTGCAACACCAAAAGTCTGACACAAATTCCACAACTCCTGCCCCTTTTTAAGTGTCACAGTGTATGCAGAGGACATCTATCCTCYTCTCCAAAGACTGGCCTAGAGCATTATTCCATGAGGCTGTAAAACATGCAAAGAATTCGGCATGCTACAAAGAACAATTTTCTCACCATCATGATTCCCTTTGCAAATTCAGCAGCCTGAAGGAAGGATGACACACGATCTACTGAAACTAGTAAGAGTGTGTCTGGGTTACCACGGGAAGCAGCTACTTGTTGCAAGATCATTGACTGCAGTAGCAGCAGCTGAAAGCCCCTTTTCCAAACTTTTACACCTACAGGGTGTCAAAGACCACATCTCTTCTACCATGAAGGCAAATCACAGGCAGCCACCACCAAACTGAAAGAAACTGACCCTCAACCAGCAACCTTAGAAGAAAAGCTACAGAATAAAAAGGCTATGGATAAGACCACTGTCATGTGTTCAAATCAAGCAAAATCCACGTAGGGCAGGGCCAAGTATTTTTTTGCCCTGTAAGTCTAGTATAGGAAGTTTGAATGCAACTGGAAAATGGTCTTCCTATATTTCCCTACTCATTTCTGCAATGTGGAAACTGTCCTCATCTGCAATTCTAAAAGCCTGCACCAGGCTCTCAGAAACCCAAGAGGCCTTGGAGTTGTGCACTGATCAAAGCACAAGCTAAAACCTTGTTCTCATATGCTATTAAGTTTAGACACACCAGTCTAGAATCAAGTTCTCACTGAGGGGACCATTAAACAAACATGTAGTAAAAAGGCTTTACACCCACAACATGCTGTTTGATCACACATAACTGACAGATGAGAAAAGAGCAGTAGCGAGGAATGTGTGACAATCAGACAAACAATTTGGCAAACATTCGTGCACACATTATAGCTCATCACCTCACCATTCACTTAGTGAGAAGCTACATTGTGCATTCAAGCTGTCTCTTTTAATAGACACAAATGAAGAATTATTCATCAGTTGTCTGAGCAACAAACACCAACATGCAGAACATTTAAGCTGGGCATTTTCTTCTCATCTGTGGCTATCACTTTCCAGCCCAGCAAATGCCCTTTGCTGGCCTTCAGAAACACCTGCACATCTTCCATCCCTCTGACCAGAGGCAATCACCTACCTTTATACAAGTGTCCATGTTCTAAAAGYCAAAAGGGGGGTACCCATTCTTCAGCATCCTTCCCGTGTGCCCAGCACTGGGGCTAMTGTCAGCAAGAAGAGGCCATAGAGAAGTTCATCGCAGATAAAGAGACTCCTAGGACTTGCATCACACAATCACCATCGAAAGGTGAGGCCCTGAGCGCAGGAATTTTCTTCCTCTTTGTTGGGGAGGGCTGCAGCGATGCTGCCTGAAGCCTGAYGTGTGCTGCCTTTCCTGGAAAGGGAAGAAAAGGAAACATCACTTGGACCTCTGCATTGTTGTGCACAAATCTAGTAAGTGGAAACACTCAAGAAGTGTAAAAAGCAAGAGTCAGCACCAGATGTCAAAGCCACACAAGAGATGCTGTAAAGATATTAAAATGTCATGAAGTGCTTTGTTTCACCCCAAACTCCACATGCCACAACCTCATCTCATTATGTGGCCCCCTGAAACTGGCAGGTTCGAGGTGGAACAAAATAGCAGCCTACGTAGGGGTCAGCAGGCAGATGGTTTCTGCAGAGCAAGAAAGTACCTGCACGCCCTTAGAGAGGAGTGCTAAGGGTCAGGCACTGCTTGAAGCTTTCACATCCCACAAAATAACATGTACTACCCCAATTTAGGACCCCAGATGGTTTGCTCAGGTCTAAAGGACTACTTACAGTAAAGAATAACAAATCTTCAGAAGTTCTTGGACCTCAAAGCAAATGAGACAGATTTTTGGTGCTGATCGTATTCAAGAAAACAGGTATCCTCACAAGGTGTTGCAGAGGCACCATTCCCTGWATTGCAGCTTACAGCCAAGAGTGAGACCCAAATCTAACAGCAAGGATTGAAACAACCCACGAAATACACAACTTGTGCCAGACACAAGCCATAGAGCTTACCAGTCTGCATCTATTCATTCAGAAAACATATAAAGRAGCAAGAACAAAATTAACAGCAGGCAAAGGCTCAACACAGTGGTTTTCTGCAAAGAGAACCACCACTTCAGGGGGTAAGGAATGTGCTCCACTTGCCTACCAAGCCACCTGGCATCTGCCACCTTCTCCTTACCTGCCCATCACCTACCTCCCCCTTTGGAAGGGGCCTTTATTTCTCTCCACACACTGAGCACACGGAGCTGCTGCCTTTGCACACTTCCTCGCAGACCCAAGCCTCCCAGCTCACATGAAGCCAACAGGCAGGTCCGTGCAGAGCTCTCAGCTCTGCTGCAGAGAAAACCAGACTCCCACTGTCTTTTTCTCCTCTCAGCTTGGGATAATCCTACCTGTTCTGCAATTTTCTTTTCTTCTGTTGAGCAAAGAGTCCCCAGAAGGTAAGTTCTCATTTTCTTCCTAAACACAGCTTCAGGCTTCTAAGCTATCTCTAAATATGTACCAAGAATCTCAGATCTGTCCATTTCCTTGAAATATGAGTTCTTTCACAGTTCATATCCAAGATGTCATCAGAAAATGTCTGTGCTACAACACTTACTTGTCTGTCCTGCAGCCCCCTGCTTGGAACTCCTCTCTGGCTTGGTCCTTCTGCAGAAGTTGTGCACCTCCTCCCTGCACAGCAGAGGAATTTCACAGAATTTTACCACTGCGTGGGAATCCGTGAGACCTCCTTCCACGTTAGAGAACCAGTCTCCTCATGTCACTGAATAAACATCAAAAAAAAAAAAAAATCTACCCAAACTATTTCTGCTTTGGGCCATAACTCATTTTATAAAAGATCCACCAAATCAGAGTCTTTCTTGGGATGAAAGGAGAAAGACTCACAGTTTCCACTCCGAGGCCTGTAAAGCCAATGCAAACCTGGGTCACTATACATTATGAGCACAGAATTTCAGAACTAATTGGCTGCATGCATCCAGCAAGGCATCTCACACAGCGAGCACCGCAGCCTCTCACGTTATCATCTCTGCATGGTCAGGTAGGCAAGGAGCCAGGCCAGGCAGCCCTTGGAGACGACACGAGCACCACGCCAGCTTCCCTCCAGCCCACTCCAGCTTCCTTCCAGCCCACACCCCGGCACCAGCTCCAGGGATGCGGCTACGGCCGGGACACGCTGGCCCAACACTCCTGACTACCCGGAGCCGGTATCTAGGATATGCTGCCATTCCCTCAGCACAGCGAAGATCTAAATTAAAATAGTAGCAGTGCTAAGAACCACCAACTAACAATCTGGAAAACTAAATCTGAACAGCAGCAGTGTAAGATGCCATCTCAGCGAGACAGAAAAAAATGYTTAGTTGTTTTACCGGTCTTAGTGCTCCTGATGGAAAGCCACTGCAAGTGACGGCCTCCTGCCACCTGCAGGGAAAACAGGGATTTGGAAAGCTTCCGCTTGCTTTATCTCAGGGAGAAGAACCTGCACGTTTGGGATAAGCAGCATGGAATCACAGATTAAACTATATTAGTGCCATAAATTCTCTCAGATCAGCAAGGAAAACAAGGCCTGCAATGGGGATAAGTTTTGCCCGTATTATGTGTGCCGTGAAGGCAGAGGAGCAGAAGGTAAAGCTCCGGAAAGAGGCCCAGCACTAACTGTACTTGGAAAAGCAGCATAACCCAGTACTGGTGYGTTCACGTGGCTAGAGCTGCAGAGCCACATGGGGCCATGCTGTATTCAACAGCTTTGATATGGCCCCAGACAATCTTCAATGCTTCTTGTTTTRTTGGGGTGCCTTTTTGCTCTCCCTTGACAAGTTCCAAAATAAAGAAGAGGGGTTTAAAACCTTTCTAYAGTTTACCACTACCTTGTAAAAAAGAGAGATAACTCTTCATCTATGAGATCACTCTATCTGAATACAGAAATATCCACTACCAACAGCCATAGGAAAAATAAAAAATGAGAAGGCCCACTGCTTCCTCACACAAGTCAAACATGCAGAAAGGGACAAAAAAGAATGCCAATGGGAACCTAATTTTCAAACACACCCACGGAAGGTTGAAGAGTCAATTCAAAGGGCACTGGGCAGACTCCAATATCAGCTATCAAAGACAAAAGCATCATCAGTGGCCAAGGTCTACATGAAGTGATCCCCATTTTGCTCTTCAGGACTAACAYCTGCCATATCCATCCACATGCAGCCCCGACATAATACAGGTAACAGGGATAAAAAACATGGGAGACCACTGCCTGTGGCCCAAGGCAAGGCCCCTTCACCTAGCTGAACAACCCCCGAGGACTGCGAGCGCCTCTGCTCCTGCACACGCCACGCCACCCCACAGCAGCTTTCAGGTGGGGCTTTTCTTCTCACCCTGACACCAAACCAGCCTCCGGGGCCAGAGCAACGTTCAGCCCCTTGCTGCTCCCCACGCAGGTGGGGACAACAGGGCGTTCCTCAATCACTGCCTTCTCCAGAACCATTCGGGTCGCCTGCCAGCACAGGCAGGGCTCCCCAGCTGCGTTTCCTCACCCCAAGGCTGAGGCCAGCGCTGTCCGCTGTTCAGCCCTGCAGCTTCCTTGGAGCACCTCCCAATCCCATCCTGCTCCTGGGTCGTAGCTCACCTGGGGACTGCACCACAGGGAGAAACTCTGCCGTGCTGTTGCTCTCTGTGGTGTTGCTTTTTCCGACCAGGAAGAGACAAAACCAGGCTGCATTGCAAAGACACCCACAGCAGCCTGTTCTCACTAATCCCACAAGCCTGAACAAGAAAGACACCGCACTGAGACCCAGCTCACCCTGCCCTGCACAGGGCACTGAAAACCACGCGCCCCAGGCTGGCCCCAGCCTGGCCCCACGGAGCCCCAGCCTGGCCCCACGGAGCCCCAGCCTGGCCCCACGGAGCCCCAGCCTGGCCCCACGGAGCCCCAGGCCGGCCCCACGGAGCCCCAGGCCGGCCCCACGGAGCCCCAGGCCGGCCCCAGACCCACAGTGTTCCCTTCTACAAGCAGAACAGATATTCCCGGCCACATTGCACCCTTATTGCTGAAAACAAGGAGCACAGCTGCAGCCACGCTCCCGTGTTCGGATCACAGGTCAGGAGCACCCATAGGAAGCAGGGATAACGGGAAGGTGCTGGACTTTATGGAAAAGCCGAGGAGCTGGGGCCAAGGTCCCACAAGCCGGGCCGCGTTCCCGCCGCAGGAAGGTGCCGGGCACAAGGGCAGGGAAGGGRCTCCCAGCTGGCTCCGCTCCCAGCGCGGGGCCCGAGCCCGGCGCCGCACCCCAAACCCCGACACGTCTCCCCGAAAGCCGCGGCGGGCGAGCGGGGCGGCAGCCGCGGCGGGGACGGAGCGGAGCGGAGCGCGGCCTGCCCGAGCCGCTGCCCTCGGGGGCTCCGCGGCCAGCGCCGGCCGCCCGCGCCGGGACGGGACGGGACGGGAGGAGGGCAGCGCGGACGCGGCAGCCGCCGCGCCGAGGGGAGCGGAACGGGGAGCGGAACGGGGAGCGGGAAGCGGAGGGGAGGGGAGGGGAGGGGAGGGGAGGACGGCGCCGTTACCGAGGCCGGGGCGGCGGCGGCTTCGGGCCCGTCCTGCGCGCGACCGGCGCGGGCTCCCGCTGCCTGAGCCGGCGGCCGGAAGTGACGCCACCAGCGGGCCTTGTGGGCGGGGCGCCGTGACGTGCGCGCCGCGGCGGCGGCGGCAGCAAGATGGTGAGTGCGGAGCGGAGCGGGACCGGGGCCGGGGCCGGGACTCCGGGCCGAGGCCGAGGCCGAGGCCGAGGCCGGGGCCCGGGGTCCCGGCCCCGCCGCGCTCCTCACGGCGGCCGCGTGTCCCCGCAGGGCAAGCAGAAGAAGGCGCGGAAGTACGCGGTGATGAAGCGCATGATCAGCCTCCGCGACGAGCGCATGTGAGGGCTGCGCCGGGGCGCCCGGTCCCGCCGGGGCGCCCGGTCCCGCCGAGGTACCCGGGCCCGCCGGGGCGCCCCAGCCCCAGCCCCACGAGGGTCTCCTGTGCTCCCTTGCAGCAACGCCAAGGACCGCGCCAAGGGGCCCGTGAAGAAGAAGAAGGAGGATCCCAGCGCCATCAAGGAGCGGGAGGTGTAAGTGCGGCGGGGAGCCCCCGGTTGCGGCCAGGGCGTTTCGGAGCAAACCGGGAACCGCGGCGGGGCCGAGCGGGACGTGCCCCGTGTKCCTGCCCACGGCGCCTGCCTTCGGTGTGTGCAGGCGGCAGGAACCCGCGTGCTGCCCGTGGCCCTGAGCTGACACGAGCTGTGTGCCCTTTCCAACAGCCCCCAGCATCCGTCGTGCTTGTTCTTCCAGTACAACACGCAGCTGGGCCCTCCCTATCACATCCTGGTTGACACCAACTTCATCAACTTCTCCATCAAAGCCAAGCTGGACCTGGTGCAGTCCATGATGGACTGTCTCTACGCCAAGTGTGAGTGTCGGCATCGTCGCTGCTGCTTCTGGACCACGTGGGGCTGCAGATCTTTGCTATAAACAGCTCGTTTCTCTYGGCCCATGTCGGCCCTAACGCTGTCCCTGCTTTCAGTCTGAAACAGTGGTCTGAAATACCAATCTCACAAACTTTTAATAACTCTAAACTTTAATGACTTTAAAATCTAAACTCGCCGTTGCGTGCTCAGCTACACAGTGGCTTTACATTTCATCACTTTGTATCCTTATCAGTTCTTGCAAGTTTCAAACCGTAGCCAATGTGCTACGGAGTTCAGTTAACAGACGGCAGCCCCGGGCACGTTGAGCAGGTCTCTAGAGCTCCATAAAGGGATACTCCGTGGTCCTGATACAGCCTTTTAATGCTTCTCACCTACAGGTATTCCCTGCATTACGGATTGTGTAATGGCTGAGATTGAGAAGCTGGGGCAGAGGTATCGTGTGGCATTAAGGTAGGTGCAAAGTGATCCCCCTTTTTCATAGAAGTGACCGTTCTAGTATGAAGAAGGGAAGARGACTTTCCTATGATAGTGCTTTCGTTCTAGAGGATTTGTTTAGGTGGTTCCCCAGTCCCTAACTTGCCTTTTCTTCTTTCCTTGGCTGTATGAAATCAGTACTAAGGCCTAAATCTGAGACAGTTTTTTCAAAACTAAAYGCTAGGTAAAAATGCATAACAATAATATATATTATTATTATATATTCTGTGTAATTTCTAGATTTATAATATTATATATACTATCATATAAYTATATAGTGTTTTTCCTGTACTAGTAGGGAACACCTACTGATAATCTAGAACCAGATAATTTTGTGATGTTTACAAACTGATCCAGTGTAGTTTGTGCTCCCGTGCTGTAGCAGTCACGTATCTTCTTTCTGTTTTGGCCTGTTGTGTGGTATAATATCTAAGTGCAGTTCCTTAGTAGCTTCCATGTGCCACTTTGGAGAGGAAATGAAGTATTTCTGTATAGTCTGAAAGATCAGGGACTAGAAAATATTCTAGATTTCACCATGGATAATGTTTCTAATGAGTTTTAGGCAAGAGCAGGGAACAGAACATTGTGGAGATTTTGAACCCAGCCTTTCAAGTGTTCATTTGCTCATCACTTAAGCACTTGAGTGCTTAAGTATTGCATGCCATGCATCTAARAGGGGTGTTCCTGCTCCTCTGTGCTGTGTTCGTGTTTAATTTTACTGCTCTGACTGCTGTGATGCTGCCTTATCTATTCCTACAGAATTGCCAAAGACCCTCGATTTGAGCGCCTGCCGTGTACGCACAAAGGGACCTATGCAGATGACTGCTTGGTACAAAGGGTCACTCAGGTACTCCTCACAGTTCCTGTGCTGTGCTAACTCTCTAAATGGTACTGAACCCTCCCAACTACTGATGATTAAAGATTTCCTGCACAGAAAGAATAAAATCTACTTAAGAGGCAGTTTCAGTCCCTGTAGAAGAGCACAGTGCTCTTGCAYGAGAGAGTGTCAAAGAGTTTCTAGGGCACAAAGAGCCAGGAGGGCTGTACAGCCTTTGGATGTTTCTTGGATTCTTTCAATGGATGTTTCTAATCTGCTGTGTAGACATGGCACCCTGGCATGTCCCCGCAGTGTCTCAGGAAGGGCTTGTACTTTGGTGCAACATGAGCTAAGTGAATAAAACTTTTGCTCAGCTTTGCTCTGTGCTGGTTGCTAGTGTTGAATCTGACTTGCCTCCTTTTTTKGCAGCACAAATGTTACATAGTGGCCACAGTGGATAAGGAGCTCAAGCGCAGGATACGCAAAATCCCAGGAGTGCCCATAATGTATATTTCCAGGCACAGGTAAGGGACCGCTCTCAGGAGGGAACGGGGCTGCGTAGAATTGTTGCCAGATAGGACTTTCTAGCCTTCTTGTTTGAGCTTTCTCTCCTGCTTTTTCAATAGCACAGAATACTTGAAATGGGTCTTGTGTTTGCCTGAAGCAGAAGTACGTTTGCAGTCACCAGGTTCACTTGCTTTTGCTTGGAAAACTTGCTTCCTTGAGGCCTGTGTTTCCATGGGTTAGTTTTGCTGGTCGGCTATGTCGTCCAGATTATCAAGCAAATACACTGAATGTGTTCCTAAGGAAAAAGTCTTGTTTTATCAAACTGGTAGCTGTGTGTACCCTCAGCTAAGAGACTCGAGAAGGTTGTCTTCATGGGTGTTCCCTCTTTCTGTTGCAGGTACAATATTGAGAGGATGCCAGATGATTATGGAGCTCCTCGATTCTAGCAAGCCATCGATGCCARCATAAGGATCCTTCCATTTCCACCTCTCATGAGATATATATATATATATATATTTTCTGGGACTTTGTTCCTATGATTATGAGTGACACTGGGCTGATTTCATAGCCTTGATCTTCTAATAAACAGCCACTTGGAAGCCTCTGTTTTTATTCAAGCTTTTTTCTGACTGTACCTACAGACCTGCATCTGGGAGAAAGGGGCTGCAGGGCAAAGAGCATGCCTGAATCCCTCTTCATGTTGGGGTCACTGGAAGAAAAAGAAGTCCTCTCAGCATCTTGAATTAAGTATTGGCAATGGTTGAACTGCAGTTGAGTATGGAATCACAAGTTTTGAACCTGCAGCAAGACAAGTATTGCTCCCACAGGCAACCTGGAATCTGGGTTCTGGAGATAAACAGTCAAGTCTGCACCAGTTGGTATCCTTCTCCTGGATCAYTGGGCTGAAAGATTTTACTTGGAATTGGTGGTTTCTTATTCAGCTGTAGCTCAGTACAGTGAGTGTAACTTGGTTAGTGTGTCCTGGTTGGATTCTTGAAACTCAGTGCATCACTGTGTTATCTAATAAAGTTTTCTCTTGTTTTTGTAAGTTCTTCCTACAACCATAATGTGTCTCTGTACCTTAAATACAAGGCRTGTTGCTAAGGTAGCATCATCTCACAGGGTATTTGAAATGTACTGAACCAACTGGAAGCCTAGCCCTCATCTTTACATGCACAGGTTGGTSGTAGGGAGTCTTTCTGGGACTGGAGACATTCTCTGTCCTGTTTGCTTGGAACCTTCATGTCTAAAAGCCCCATCTCTTTCCATAGGTGTCATGAAAATGAAGGTGTCAAACTGCGAAAGGTATTAGTTCACCAAAAGGTAATTGGAGCATGAACTGCATTAAAAATCAAATAAAATACTTATTTGCAAGAAATTTTGAGGAGTAAAAGATTTGTCCAAGTCTGCCCTGGTCATTTTAGTAACAGGAGGAGAAAGCTGGAATAGGCATAATGCAATTGGTAAGAAAGATAAGCGGGCTGGAGGATAAACAGCAGAGAGAAAGTGTTAACAGTGATGGAAACCATGAGGGAAACTATGTATTTAGTGAAAATGTTACTCCTAAAATTAGAATAACCTGCTAGGAAAGACTGAAAAGCTTGAGTATTAACAGAAACAGCCTGGGCAGATGATGAACACAGACCAGGCAAGGACCACCCAGGTCATCAGGTCCATTCCCTGCAGTCCTAGTCCTCCGATTACACTATGTTAAAGAAGGAAAGACAATCTGCTTAATGCAAGGACTTGAGTAAGTGGGAATGTCTGGATGTTCCTACAACCACAGGACTCTACCAGGCCAAACCAGGAGAGAAATTCCTTCCTGACCCAATTCTGGCAGTTAGTTTAAGCCTGCAAACAAAAATATCCAAATTAGGCAGTAGGAGAAAATAATTTCTGTTTTTTTGAATTATTTTTTTTTTTTTTGAGGGGGTAGAGGTATAAGATTGCTGTATTATAATTAGTGTTGAATGTTATCAGAAAACCATTGCTACTGAAAATCATTGAGTGCAAGTACTTCTTCATAAGGGACATAACAGCTTTCTTCACTGTACTGATCAGCCACAGCAAAGAGCAAAACCAGCTTAGCCATTATTTTAGGCAATAACCCTGAATGAACCGACCATAAATAACAACTCATCCCGAGTCAATCAGTCGGGAGGATAAACCAAAGACGTTTGCAACTGAAGTTCTCCCTTCTGCAAGGATTTTAAAGGCTTAGCCGATGAGTAAACTGGCCCGAAGGGCCTGGGGATGCGGATGCTAAGAAAACCCAGGATTTGGGGAAGGATCCAGAAGTGCAATCACTGTCTGGAAGTCACATCTCAGAAGGGAAGGAWAAGGGATCCCCTCAAGATGAAAGGGATGTAACAGCTCGGCGCTGGCTGCAGAACACAGYGCTCTGCTTGAGTGTAGGATGGGAAAGGCGGAGAAACCTTCCCCGTGCGGGGGCTCCTGCGAGGGAGCGGGCGGCGGCTTTGCGGGTCCCCCCCTCAACAAAATGGAGCCCTCGGATCAGGGGCGCCCCTTGCCCGGGCCCTCCCCGAGGCGGCGCTCCCGCCGCGGCGGCAGGGG